AAGGAGCATAAAGCAAGCTGCAGGCTAGGACAGACCGAGAAGTCTGCAGTAGCTGAACATGCACTGGGCAGCGGGGAACACAGGATACCCTTTGAGAGCTGTAAGCATCGGTCAACGGCTATCACAACAGACTAGTCAGGAAAGCCATTGAGATACAAAAACACCCACACAATTTCAACAGATAGGAGGAGACCCTTAGACTCAACCAAATCTGGAACCCGATCCTTAGGAACGTCCGCACAGTACCGATCGATATCCCGAGACCAACCGAAGCGGAACAAGTCCCGCCCACCACCAATCGGCATAAATACAACCTGCAGGAGAAATCGTCAGTCTACGTCCAACATCGGAGATGGAAGGACCTCTGAAGGAGCTCGCCACTCGTGCTAGCGAAACGTTAGGAAGTAATTCCAACCGACGACGGCCTTTAAACCCGAATCAAGATAATAGCTTATTCAAAGGCTAGCCCAACAATTGCTTGTACAAGAAGTACAGGAAACGCTGAAGAACCTTAGGGACAACAGATATAGTACATATAAGAGTATAGACGAGATAATAGATGCGTCTCCAAGAACAAATAGCATAGGAATAGGCACTCAAACAGAAGAAATTGTAATGCAAGCTGACGGAACACAAACTGAAAATCAGGCCAAAGGTAAATTAACAAATATGGATGTCCAGAGTATCATTAAAAGTGACTTGGATAACAATGCGCAAAATAATTTAATGGGCAGAGAATGGGAGCACGATGCGTTCACACATACAGTTGTAAAAAACGATACCCTGCATAATGTAATCAATGAAACGGATCGCATAGTTTTTATGGACCCAAAAGAGGCAGACAACTCCGCTCTAATTCGAAGATTAACCGAACCGGAGATTCAAATTATGGACCTTGTCGAAAGAAGTAAACCTGAGCCAGAGAACGTTATTTACGTGGAAACCAGCAGCAAATTACTCGATGGCGAAAGTGAGACTGAAGACGGGCAAGATCTGAAAAGGTTCACATTTTTGGTGGGCACTGATTTACAGAAAGAAGAAAAGGAGGCATCTCAGGAGATATATAGACATTACTATTAAGAAAGGAAGAACTTTCCAGAAAAGGTGGGACCATGAAAGATGCCAAAAGATTGTGGAATGTGCATTAAAAAATAGCGCGGTGACCGTAGAACTAATCTTCCCAGCTGATGCAAATAAACAAAGGCAATATGCAGGAATAAATTCGCGACCACAGTCAAAAATTCCATCCGATGCTGTTGTGGTAGAAAAAGGGGACAGATCCTATGCGGAACTGCTTACAGCTGTGAAGATGGAAGTGAATAAACGACAACTAAGCAACCTAGTTAGCGGAGTAAGAAAGTCTAAAGATGGTAACCTAATATTGTCAATAGAAAGGCAACATGGCACAGCAGTACACATGGCTGAGGCTCTTAAAGGCGTGATGATGATGCACTGATAAAAACCACAACCGTAAATGAATCAAGACCTATACTGCATATAAAAAACATCGATGCAATCACCACCACGGACGAAATAGTAAACGAAATTAAAACATTTTTGAAAAGAAATAATCTTACGGGAGAGGTTAGAGTTAGCTCTCTTAGACCGTCGTTCAGAGAAACACAAGCTGCCACAGTTTTTGTCTTCAAAGAAATTGCCCATAAACTAGGGTAGAATCAGAATCGGACTGGCGAGTTGTCCAACAAGAAAAAGAGTCAATATCACCTCGCGCTTCCAATGTTGGAACGTAGGACATATGGCTAAAGAATGCCCTGGGCCGAATAGATCTAAGCTGTGCATTAACTGCGGAGAAGGACTGTGTGAAGAGCTTGCATTGTGTAATATGCCAGGTGTCCGGTCATAAACCGCTCAGTATGAGGTGCCCAGTCTATAGGAGGGCTGAATTACAAAGCGTATAGTATCCAAACTTGAAAAACTTAGGTAGACGATACGCTGCACTTGACATATTACGGCAAGCTATAGGAACGAGGAAAATAGACGTGGTCGTGTTAAGCGAGCCAAACAAAAAAAATGCTACGAGAAACAAATGGCAGACAGATGATAACTTAGACTCGGCGATACAAGTGATAAATAACTCGGGACATTCCCAATACAGCGGCAAAGGCATCGGCTTTGTCTGGATAAACTACTTGGACATAATTATATATAGTTGTTATATATCCCCAAATTAGGGCGAAGAAACTTATCTCCGTTTCCTACACCACTTGAAACTAAGTATCCGTAACCTAAGGAAACAATGTCTTATATGTGGAGACTTTAGTGCCAAGTCGGTGATGTGGACCTGGTCGTGTTAAACAGAGGCACCATGCCAACATTCAAAATGGGCACCAGCGAGTCCTTTATTGATGTCACATTCTCAACGAGTAGACTAGCAACCAGAATCTTAAGCTGGGAGGTATCGGGCGAAGAAAATTTGTCTGACCATAACTTTATTTTCCTGGCCATAAAAGAAGATAGTGTAAACGAGACGAACTCACCTGAACAAAAACCGAAACAACTAGGGTGGAGTGTAGATTACACAAAAATTGAGGAATTCCTAATAACTCTGGAGAAAAGATTATTATCTGCACAAAGTACCAAAGATATGACACCAAAAGCATGGTCCGAAATTATAACCGGCACATGCGACAGTATCTTTAAGAGAAAAAAGGACTGGGAGGTAACAAGAAGCCTGTCTACTGGTGGACATCACAGATAGCCAAACTTAGAGAGGAATGTCTGCTTAAAAAGCGTACCATGACTCCAAAAAACAAATTGCCACATATTACTGACGAAGAAAAAAAATCGGCAATAGCACAGTATCGAGAAACCCGCGCAAGCCTGAAAAAAGCTATCCGAGAAGCCAAAAAAGAGGCCTGGAAGAGAGTAGTGGATGATGTGGAAAATGACACCCGGGGCATAGGTTATAAAATAGCTACCAAAGCATTATGCTTAAGACCATTTCTCCAGATTACAGAAGAATTTATGTTACAGGAGGCTCGGAAATAATTTCCTTCTCTACCAAAAATAACCTGGGACCTGATAGCGGTGAATCCAAAAGAAATACCACCATTTTCAATGGAGGAAGTAGAAGAGGCAACTAATAGACTTAGGTCGAAAAGGGCGCATGTCCCGTACTGGATTCCACCAGAAATTATCAAAAATGTTATCAGGAAATTCCCTGTGCAATCTTTTAACCTTATGAACCGCCAGCTCTAGAGAGGAGAGTTCCCAAAAATTTGGAAAAAGGCAAGGTTAGTTCTTATAGAAAAGCCCCAGAAACAAATGTAAGTTAAATCGTATCGTCCGATTTGTTTAGTAGACGGTATGGGGAAAGTCTTGGAATACTTGCTAAAAGAAAGGTTAAATACAGAAATAACGGAAAAGGGGGACTGGCCAAGCTACAGTTCGGATTTACTAAAGGTAAATCAACAGTCGACGCTGTTATGCGGCACCTTCTTGGTCTAACGTTCTAAAACACAGGAAATACACAAATATGATGCTAAAGATCGAAACGAAAATGGCTATTCGAATATGTAGTGTATTCAGAACGGTGTCAACTAGTGCGGTGCTAGTATTGTCAAACATAATCCCAATAGATCTGCAGGTGAAAGAAAGGGAGAAAACGTACGGGAAGGATAGGGCGTTCACGATAACCGCGAGAGCAACATCTCTTGAACATTGGCAATGGACCCAAAGTCTAATCCCTAATGTAAAACCTTGGTGTAACAGAAAACATAGAACTCTTAACTACTATCTCACTCAGCTCCTCTCAGGACATGGTTGCTACATGGCTTATTTCTATCGCTTTAAGATTGCAAGGAAGTCTGGCATAGCGTGTCCGAAATGGCCAAAAGAATTCTCGTACGAAATGAGATAGAGGAACATCAAAGAAAAAGATGAACTGGTCCAAGCGGCATGATGAAGTAATACCTAAGGGTGGTTGAAATGTTTATTTGAATATTTTATAAAATGTTATGCACATCCATAAGACTTAAATAATGTATATCTACACTAGTTGTTACTATATTAGATATATCTCGTGGACATATAATCGAGATTTATTGAGTTAAATTTGAGAAAATATTTCAAATCAATATAATTAAATATGGATATGAAATGTATAGGTTAAAAGGTAACAGGAGGTAAAATTTGTGAGAAGCAGTACACCACCCAATTTGAAAAGGTATTGTTGGTATATTTTGCAAAAGAGTCTGACAAGGTGAAGTGGATTTAATTTTTTGTCATTACCTAGCTGGTTTCATTTTTGAAAAAATATCTGTCGGAAACCATCGCCAGAAATCTATTAAAAAGTATTATCTCGAGAAAAATTTAATCAATTCAATGATTAAGGTAGATTTTTAGTTATTGCTTCATATATTCTTTAAATTACTCAGCATCGTCATTTCAATCATTTCAGGTGCTTGCCGCTGTGAGGAGCTCACTATAAAGATCATCGATGATATTATAGAAGATAACAAAGAAACTACCCGATACTTAGAATTATTCAATTGTCGTTCAAGTTATGCTATTATTTTATATTACGTTTCTGGAGCATACAAATAAGAGATCTTTCAACCAAATTTTCCAATTGAATTGCATTGGATAAAGGGCTAGTTTAATAACAAATCGCATAAAATTACCAGGTTCTGTTGGTTAATGTTTTACGGTGAACTTCTGCTACACTTTGTACTAACGCTGGATGGAGATCTTTGATTCAGACGGAAGGGAGTGTGCAAACTTCTTGCACTCATTTTAATTAAATGCTAAATAAAATTTGAAACTGTGAAACATCGAGATGAAGTCCTACGGCAACGGCCTAAGAATAAATGTAAATAACATTTTAAATAGTAAATAAAATTAGCTACGAATATAAGGGACTTTGGTTAAATTTATTGCTTGATCAAGATAATTTCAGAAAGCATAGAGGCCTTCTAACATTTTAACTTCACAACGCTTTCTATTGCTCCAAATTACAATTGCAATGTTCTTTGTTTCAGTAAATGAACAACCTGGTAGAATTCCAAATGTACAACCTCCCTCCATCAAAGTAATACCTGTGTCAAATACAAACAATTCCAAGTTGCCGACGGTACGTATTTTCAAATAATCCATTGTTCTGTTGTCTGTGTGTGTTCGGTGTCCTCGTACGTCTGTAAGTTCTTTGTTATATAATATATATATATATATATATATATATATATATATATATATATATATATATATATATATATATATATATATATATATATATATATATATATATATATATATATATATATATATATATATATATAATTTTCGCGTTGTACATAAAGTAAGCGTTTTTCAGGCAATGTCTTGACAGATCCATTATGTATGGCAGAAGATCTTCGTTTTCTTCTATAAGCAAGAGTTCCTCTTCTACTGGAATACTCGGGTAGAGGGATTTGACATCGAAACTTGCCATAATGTCGTCCTTGTCCATCCTGAGAGAACCTAAAAACTGAGTGAAATGTTCTGAGTTTTTAACATATGAATCTGCCTTTTCCACTATAGGCTAAAGTGCACTGGCCAGATGTTTTTCCAGCTTGCATAATGGTGAGTTAAAGGCGCTTACGATTGGTCGCAGGGGAACCCCGTCCTTATGGATCTTTGGGAGCCCGTAGAATTTTGGGCAACGACTCGATTTTTCCCTCGGAACAAGTTTCTTCTTTGTATCCTCGTTTATTGATGAATCGAGAATTTTGGACTTAGTTGTTTTTTCCAAATATGTCGTGGGATCTCTGGTGACTAGTTTGTATACTGGGTCGTTCAAAATATCCTCCAATTTTGCATTATAGGCCGATGCATTCGTGACGACAGTGGCATTTCCTTTGTCTGCTGGCATTATTGGAACACACTGTCTATAGAAAACCAACACACACTAATAGATATCTGAACGCTAAATCTCATCACCACCCATCACAGATACAGGCAGTGGCAAATACATTAATTGCTCGGTCCTTCAGGCTCACAAACGAGAGGAACAGAGATAAAGAACTGAAGAAAATTAGTACCTGTCTCCCACAAAATGGATACCAAATGCGAACCATCAGCAAGGGAATCAGTAAACGACAACAGCCGCAGCAGAGAATGTAGGACGAGACCCAACGAAGATCGATCGCTGTCCTGCCATACATCAAGGGGGTTACTGACAAAATCGGCCGAATATTACGGAAATACGACATATCAACGGCATACAAACCTGACCATACCATCGGAGCAATACTAAGAAACCCAAAACAAAAAATTACTCTGGAAAACCAAGGAGTATACAGTGTAGCATGCGGATCGTGCAGCCTGACGTATGTGGGACAGACCAACAGAAGGATTTCAGCCAGGCTCGAGGAACATCGTTTAGCCATAAGAAATAAACAAACAACATCTGCTTTGTTTCAGCACCAACATTAGACAGGCCATAAAATTGATTTCGGCACTTGCAAACAAATAGCTTATATTCCTGATTTTAGGACTAGGATTATACGAGAGGCCATCGAAATAGAAAAGTCCGGACACCTCAATACGAGAGACGACGCTCTGCACTTATCCAACACGTGGAGAACGATAATCAAACAGCAGAGCGATGCGCAGCAGCCAACGGGGACATCGCAACTACGATCGGGCGAAATTAACAACGCGACAATTCGGGGGGCGGAGCCACCTCTCCCCACGCACAAGCAGCACCGTTACCATCTCCGGCACAGAGTATAAATACCGTACGCACCGCCGATAACCTCCCAGTGTTCGAAGTGTTTTCGGAGCGCGAGCATTGAAGATGCCAAGTGAGATTTTGGCGAAACGTCTGCAGGATTCCAGTCGGATGCAGGATTCCAGTCGGAGTTCAACGAGCGAACGGATGATATCCCGGAATGTAGTGTCATCACATTTTTCCATCCGTGAATCAATACGTGAGAATATCATACACCTTTACGGGAAGGAGACCTTTACAGCCACCAAGTGTTATGAAAAACTAAGACAAAGGAGGGTTATTTCGCTGTGCAACTTGAATTTTCTTAAAAACTGCCGCAACCAGAACTTGTTGCCAACATTTACAAGGTTGTCTTATCACACACGCACCAGAAGGACACAAGCTATCCTGGACAAAGCTAGCAAGGCCCTACTCCAAGACCAGATCAGGCGGACCCGGTACGAAATTAGTGAGACTGAACTACAACTTTTCAGACTCCACCTGAAACTGAGCAACAAGATCCATCAGTTGCTGTGGGACCGCATAGAATTACTAACATCATGGCGCACTGAGAAAGACAAGGACATCACTTCAAAAAACTGTGGAAGAAATTAGAAATCCTTCAGTCAAATTCCAAAAAATCAGGACAAGTGCCAAATACAAACCGAAGCAGTACAGTTCATAATATTTCAGCATACCATCTTTCCGATACAGAAGTCAGCGTACTGAATAAAGGATTTAACTATGCAATAGCTCCAAAAAGAGTACCCGTCGAAGAGATCGTTTCCAACGTCGAAGCAAGTCTTTCCACCATAGACGAACAAGATGCGGAGTTAATTAGGCAAGATGTCGCCAGAGTCTTAAGACAGTCTAAACCACCGCAACCAAACTTAAGCAGAGAAGAAATGCAAGCCTTAAGGAATCTAAACAAAAACGAAAACATTCTAATAATGCCAGCAGACAAAGGAAATGCCACTGTCGTCATGAATACATCGGATTATAATGCAAAATTGGAGGATATTTTGAACGGCCCAATATACAAACTAGCCACCAGAGATCCCATGACATATTTGGAAAAAATAACTAATTCCAAAATTCTCGATTCATCAATAAATGAGGATACAAAGAAGAAACTTGTTCCGAGGGAAAAATCGAGTCGTTGCCCAAAATTCTACGGGCTCCCAAAGATCCATAAGGACGGGGTTCCCCTGCGTCCAATCGTAAGCGCCTTTAACTCACCATTATGCAAGCTGGAAAAACATCTGGCCAGTGCACTTCAGCCTATAGTGGAAAAGGCAGATTCATATGTTAAAAACTCAGAACATTTCACTCAGATTTTAGGTTCTCTCAGGATGGACAAGGACGACATTATGGCAAGTTTCGATGTCAAATCCCTCCACCCGAGTATTCCAGTAGAAGAGGCACTCTTGCGCGACTGGAAAATTCAAGTTGCACAGCGAAATAACCCTCCTTTGTCTTAGTTTTTCATAACACTTGGTGGCTGTAAAGGTCTCCTTCCCGTAAAGGTGTATGATATTCTCACGTATTGATTCACGGATGGAAAAATGTGATGACACTATATTCCGGGATATCATCCGTTCGCTCGTTGAACTCCGACTGGAATCCTGCATCCGACTGGAATCCTGCAGACGTTTCGCCAAAATCTCACTTGGCATCTTCAATGCTCGCGCTCCGAAAACACTTCGAACACTGGGAGGTTATCGGCGGTGCGTACGGTATTTATACTCTGTGCCGGAGATGGTAACGGTGCTGCTTGTGCGTGGGGAGAGGTGGCTCCGCCCCCCGAATTGTCGCGTTGTTAATTTCGCCCGATCGTAGTTGCGATGTCCCCGTTGGCTGCTGCGCATCGCTCTGCTGTTTGATTATCGTTCTCCACGTGTTGGATAAGTGCAGAGCGTCGTCTCTCGTATTGAGGTGTCCGGACTTTTCTATTTCGATGGCCTCTCGTATAATCCTAGTCCTAAAATCAGGAATATTAGCTATTTGTTTGCAAGTGCCGAAATCAATTTTATGGCCTGTCTGATGTTGGTGCTGAAACAAAGCAGATGTTGTTTGTTTGTTTCTTATGGCTAAACGATGTTCCTCGAGCCTGGCTGAAATCCTGCTGTTGGTCTGTCCCACATACGTCAGGCTGCACGATCCGCATGCTACACTGTATACTCCTTGGTTTTCCAGAGTAATTTTTTGTTTTGGGTTTCTTAGTATTGCTTCGATGGTATGGTCAGGTTTGTATGCCGTTGATATGTCGTATTTCCGTAATATTCGGCCGATTTTGTCAGTAACCCCCTTGATGTATTGCAGGGCAGCGATCGATCTTCGTTGGGTCTCGTCCTGCACTCTCTGCTGCGGCTCTTGTTGTTTACTGATTGCCTTGCTGATGGTGCGCCTTTGGTATCCGTTTTGTCGGAGACAGGTACCAATTTTCTTCAGTTCTTTATCTCTGTTCCTCTCGTTTGTGAGCCTGAAGGACCGAGCAATTAATGTATTTGCCACTGCCTGTATCTGTGATGGGTGGTGATGAGATTTAGCGTTCAGATATCTATTAGTGTGTGTTGGTTTTCTATAGACATTGTGTTCCAAATGTCCATCTTCGGCCGTTCTGATGTGCACATCTAAAAAGGGCAGACTGTTATCCTCTTCAAGTTCTATTGTAAATTGAATCCTTCGGTGAATGGAATTCAGATGATCTAGGAAGCTCCTCCTTGCCAAAAGGCCATACAACAAATACGTTATCAACGTATCTTGTCCATAGTTTTGGCTTCAGATTTGCCTTCTCTATTGCTTTCTTTTCGAAGTAAATCATGAAGAGGTTGGCAATCACAGGTGAGAGAGATGATCCCATTGCTGCTCCATCTATTTGTCGGTAAATTTTCCCGTTGTACATAAAGTAAGCGTTTTTCAGGCAATGTCTTGACAGATCTATTATGTACGGCGGAAGATCTTCGTTTTCTTCTATATGAACTTGATAAAAGTTATTAGATAAAAATGTTCTTTTTAATAGTTATTTTTTTCATTGTTCCCTAAGATATAAATAAAATTAAAGTTAAACAGGGAATGAGAGGAATAAAAAGTACGAAATATTCAATAATGTGTCAGTCACCACTGCCACCGAACAATATTTTGATATATTACTTTTTTTAATGTACCTTAACGTAAGTCGTCTCAATATAAATATACTCTCGAAGTGAATAACTAGTGTATAAACCTCTGAACTGAAGTATCTTTTTAGGTGATTTTCGAAATATTCTCTATAAACTTTTGCCTCGGTATAAAAAATGTCTCTTTAGTTACTTGGATACCATCTAATTTTTTCCCAAATTCATTAAAACAAATCCCCCTTTCAAATTCCTGCTCTAAAATAC